TAAATATAAACCCATGGGATAATTAGCAAACAGCCCACTTCTAAAATAAACAAATAGGAGATTTGGGCTCCCTCAGCCCCCACCCTGGACTCTTCCCTTGCCACCCTGTGGAGTTAAGATATGGGGGAGAAAAGAAAGCCTTCTAGAACTCTGGGCAAGGAAAGGAAAGGTCACCAAGGAATGCTTCAGTAGGCACTATACCAGTGCTGGCAAACCTATGGCACTAATGCTGCAGCAGGCTGTTTGTGTCATTGAAAGATCTCAAAGGTTCACCATTGCTGCTCTATGCTATGCTATGCTATGCTGTGCTATGCTGTGCTATGCTATGCTATGCTATGTTATGCACCTTTATTTGCAGCTTTGTCATCTTTAAACCTCTCCACAAAGGCATCACAATCTCCATCATCCAGTGGTGGACACGGAACCTAGGACCTTATGCATGCTAGGCAAGCCACTAGTGCAGAGGTACATCCCCAGCCTGGCATCCAGATCTTCTTAACAGACCAGAAAACTGAGCTCAAAGAGGCTGAACAGCACATCCATAGTTATGTCCTTAGAAAGAGATGGAATTAGATCTCCCTAAGCAACATAGAGCCAATGTTTCAGCCCTCCAGGCAGCCCCAGGAAAAGGAGGCCTCAAAAACATCACAGAATGAATCCTCAGTCAAAACACTGAACTATACACTATACCAGCTCAGTCTATGAACTCACACCAGTCAAAACCTGTTTTGCTTTAAGGAGGGAAAAATAATGTAATACTTGCTCTGCAAAGATCTAGAGACCAATTTTGAGGAACACCTGAACCCTTCAATGTCAAAATCCATAGAGGGGCAACAGGCTGCCTTGCCAAGGAGCCTAGGATAAGTACTTCCCACATGTTCCCTGAGGGCTCAGGACACTAAGAGGTTGATTTCCAAGGACAAGTCATTCCAACACCCCCTCCACAGAGTTAACCTATTAGCTAAGGTTGAAAGGAAATGGGTAACTCAGGCAGGTTACACTAGCCCAGCAGTGACTCATGCCCACCCATCCAATCCTGGAGGCTGAAGGACAGCCCCTCCCAACAGGGAGCTGGGGCTGGGAGCCCAGCCTGGCTTCCCTAGCTCCTCATTCAGGCCTCCTGGGCACTAGGAGTCCTTGGAAGAGCCCCCTGTTTCTAGGCAGTGGGGATGGCAGGAGCTGAATACCCATTCCACTTCTCTGCTGTTAGGGATTTGTTTAGACTTTCTACCACAGAGGCCAAGAAAGCTCCCCTCCCTTCATCAATGAGCTCTCCGGGCAGGAAAGACCCCTTGAAGGCAAAGGTTCAACCTCCTTATTTTAGAACTGGAAACACTAAAACCCAGGCACAGGGCATGTTTGTCCAAGGTCACCTAGCAATATAGCAGAATCCAAGGTAGCTACCATCAGATCCAGCAAATCTCATCTGGAATGTTCTCTGAGGACAATCAAACCAGATTATCTTGCACTATCATTCTGACCTGGTTCTGACCTTGGCAAACCATGAGACATTCCTTGTCAGTTTCCTATAAAAAGGAAATAAAAAATACCCATCTCACAATATTACTGGGAGACATTCATACATAATAAATAACCTCAGTGCACCTCTTACAGTGAAGTTACATGCATGAATTTATTCATTCATACAAACAATTCCTGAGTACTAAGGGACAGATACTTCACTAAAACAAACAAAGCAGAGTTCCTGCCCTGGGGGTGGGAGGTGAGGCGGAGTCTGTCAATTCCCTGGAGGGAATGCCTTAGATATCTTTATAGTTTCCCCAGCTCCTTTTGAATAGTTAGTCCTTAATTATTAATCAAATATCAGCACTAGGAAAGGCTCTCCAAGCCAATCAGCTCAAACACTTCATTTTACAGATGGCAGATGGCAGCCCAGAGAGGGCAAGGGACCTTCCTCCAGCCTCATGGAGACACCTCCCAACTGTGGCGCAAACGTTCTCCTGGGTGTTTGGTAACTCACTGGGCTCCTAAGAAGTCCCAAGAGTTCTCACTGGCTGCTCAAGGGTCCTAGAACCCCCTGGACTTCCGCCCCAACTTCTGGGTAATCAAGGAGAGAATTCTCAGGCAGACCAGAAATGTCTTTAAGATGAAGTACACCTGGTGGGTGGGAGGGTCACTTCCCCAAAACTGCCTGGGCCTGGAGCCAACTCAGGGGCACAGCCCCTGGGCAGCAACACTTTTTGCACACCCTCACTCCCCGAAACAAGGGTGCCTTTAATTGGCCAGGAGGGAGTGGCAGGAAGGCAGATCAGGGGAATGCTCCCAGCTGGACAGGAAGAACTGGTTTAGGGTGGCAAACCCCTGCCAAACAGAGGAGAGGACAGTAGGTGCTCGGCCTGGGTTCCTTTCCCAAAAGCTGAGGCACTAAGAAGTGGGGAGCACCACCAAAGGGCAGGGCAGGACTCTGGATTAAACCTAAAACTTGGGAGGGGCCCGAATAGCACTGACAGAGCGGACTACTAGTTAGCTATATTGATGACATCAACGCTCTCCACTAGCCCAGGGTGGTACCATTTTATCTCTCTCAGTTCCCTCATCTGGAAAGTGGACATAATATAACCTCCACATGCTAATTTTTTGTGAAGATAAAATGGATCAGATCTGGTTTATGGAAAGTATTCAAACCAGGAATGGTGGTATGTGCTGTAATCCCCAAAACTGGGATGCTGAGGCAAAAGTTCCAGGCCAACCTGAAACTACACAGTGAGATTCTGTCAAAAGAAAGGAACAGACACAGAGAGAGACAGGAGAGAAGAGAAGAAGAAAATGTACTGCCATCTTAACTGCTGTTAACAAATTCCTTCTCTCTGGGGCTCATTTTCTCTACCTGGAAGAAGGAAAGGGCCCACTGGATCATCTCTCCAGTTTAAACCAAAAGTAACTTGGTCTGATTTTTCCAGACATAACCTGGGCGTTGGGGGAATGAAAAAGGGAAGCCCCGTGCCCCAACTAGTAGCAAGGGGTTGGTGATATTAGCCAAGAAGAGAGAGCTAAGGTCAGGATGAGAAACTGACACCTCTCTCAGGAAGCAGCTGCTGGGGCTGACTTTTCCCCTAGCTGATGCGCTGAAGGACTGACAAAACACCCCTCCCAGGTCACATCCTTCTGACTTTCCCCGGGACAGCACTATCTGTTCCTCCTCCCAAAGCATCTGCAGGTTCAGCAGCCCCTGAGCCTAGACCAGCATGTGACTCTCCATGTGGTTACTCCAGCCACCTCTTGCGTCCTTTCCTCTTCTTCCCATACCACCCAGCCAGTGCTCCTTCACCGCCTCCCAACTCATTCAGAGCACTGCACCAAGGAGGCAGAAGGTGTGGGTTCTAGTTCTGGCTCACCCACTAACTTTGCATAAAGGAATTACTGTAACATTAATGATTAAACTCCAGGAACTCACTCCCGGTAAAAACTGGCGCTAACGAACACAAAGCTCAAGCTCTTTGGGGCCAGATCACCTCTCCCAGCTTTGGGGACATCATCACCTCACTGTGGACCTGTTTCTTCCACTTTAGAAGTCCTTGAGGCTTTTCAGCCCCCAAACCTCTGGATGAATCTTCAGTTACTCAAGGACAGGACGCAAGACTAGCCTCTTGGGCCAGAAGTTAAGATAAAAGCAGGAATTGAAAGCCTAGCTGTCCAATTGGGATCTGACTCAGACCTTATTAGTTAGCTGTGTGACCTTTGGCAATTTACTTAGTCTCTCTAGCCTCAGGACCAGTTTAAGAACGGCGGCGGACAGGAGGTTGTTGCTGTTCAGAGAGAGATATTAGAACAGAACTAGACTCACCAAAAGCAGTAAGTGTTTGCAGTCATCACTGCAGGCCTAAAACTGTGCTGGGGGGCCCTGCTCATTCTACTCATCTCTCAACAAGAGGCTGCAGGCAGAATCAACCCTCTCCTACACAAGTATGGGGGAAAAGGAGATCGCGGGCTTTCAAAGGAATTACTGTAACACTAATGATTAAACTCCAGGAACTCACTCCCCCTAAAAACTGGGGCTAAAGAACAAAGCGCAAGCTCTGGGGCAGATCACCTCTCCCAGCAGTCCCTACGCCCCCACCTTCCCAGAAGAGATTGACTCCCTATTCCTGTTGCTGGGATGGAGCTCCCAGTAGCCCAGGGCTGTGTAAATTACGCTGGGCATCCTGGACAGCGAAGAGGAAGTTTCCATAGGCTCCCTGAGGCCTCTTCTCCCCCAGCCCCCTTCACTCCATGCAGTGGCTGCCTCAATTTCCCCACAGTGCCGCTCAGCAGAAAGTGCAGACTCCACTCCGGGCCAAGTGCTAAGCTTAAACCACCCCTCCTCCTTCTGCCCATAAAGATCAGAGTCCCAGCTTTCTTGGGGCCCGAAAGAAGCAGTAGTCACCTCTTGTCCCCCTCCCCCAAAGAACTGGTGCAGATGGGGAAAGTGAGACTCAGAAGAGCCAGGGCCTTGCGACACACACGCGCACACACGCAAAGTCAAAGGCAGGGCCGGGGCCAGAACAGAGGTCAGGGCTCACTTCTCTCCCGCGCGCGTGAGAAACAGGGCCCCGCACATCCCTAACCCCTCCCCCTCCTGAGCGCGCGCTGCTCCCCGCATCCTCGGGCCACCTTTGGAGCTGCCAGCCTGGGACCCCTAAAGGACGAAGTGGCGGACTCTGCGCTCGGAGCCGGCCCCGGATCACAGCGAAAGGGCAAGGGTGTGGGAGGACGAGTTGACACCGGCTTAGTCACGTCGGAGCCGGGAGCCGACGGCGGGACTGAGGCCAGCGGAGGCGGGAAGAGCAACGCGCCGGGCGCGGAGCGCGGGCAGGAGCCCCCCCCCCCCACCGCCCCGGGAACCTTCCCGCGACCTCGAGGCAAAGTTTCCAACAAAGTTTTTGGGAGCGCCGGCGCAGCTCTCGGAGCGCACACACAGAACCCCATCCCAGCCCCCAGGAACAAAAGCGGCCCCGGGCCCCCCGCCGCGCACCCGCACCCCGAGTCCTCCAAACACCCACCGACTCCGCGGTAGTGGCCGGGCTGCGGACCAGGAGCAGCAACAGGAGCACAAGCGGGCAAGCGGACGCCATGGTGCAGCGGTGCAGGAGCGCGCGAGCTACCAGCGGCCGACCCAGAGCGCCCTTCTTATAGGCGGCGGCCCTGCCCCGCCCCGCCCCGCCCCGCCCACCCGCACCCCGCCCGGAATTCCCCAGAAAGCCGGATTTGCAGGGCCCTGCGCCCGCCCGCGGAGCTGGAAACCCCGGGGCGCTGGCCCTGTGCGCCGCAGCCAGCTCCAGGCCGACCCTAGTCGTGTCCTCGGGGACCTCCAACCCGCTTGATTTATTTGACCCACTCTAGGCAGGCCTCGGGAGATCACTGTGTCTAACCTCGTCTTATAGTTGGGGAAACTGACACCCAGGAATGACAAGGACTTGCCCAGAGGCTTCCTTTAAAATCAACCTTCAGGGCTAGGGGTATAGCTCAGCTGCACCGCCCTTGCCTGGCAAGCACGAGGTCCTGAGTTCTATTCCTGGTACCAAATAAATAACTACAATAAAATAAAATCAACTTTCAAAACAGGTATGTTCCCTCCTGAGGAGAGTTTGGAAGACTTTCTAAATGGGACCTGAGCCAGGGATATAGCTCATAGGCACAAGCACCTTCCCGGCAAGTGCAAGGTCCCGAGTTCGATTCCCGGTATCAAAAAAAGAAAACAAAAGAAACATAAATGGGATCTGAACATGAGTAGTTTCAAGACCAGAATTAGCAAACTTTGTAAAGGACTATGTAGAATCGCCGAAGCCCACATATGAAGACTTAAAGGAATGAGTATGTCTCTGGCCTAGTAATGAATTTCATGTCATTTTTAAATGTCACAAGTCTTTTTTGAGACAGGTTCTTGCTGTGCAGTCCAGGCTAGCCTTGAACTCATGACAATCCTCCTACCTCAGCCTCTAGAGTGTTGGGATTATAGGTGAGGGCCACCATGCCCAGTTTATGAAATATATTCTTTTGACTCCCCGCAACCACTTAAAATTTTTTTAAAAATCATTCTGAATAGTGAGTCAAACAATAATAGGCAATTGGCAGCAACCTTTGGTCTCAAGGTGCCTGCTGTTTTAAGGAATTCATTTTTCAGATTAGGAACTTCCTGCAAAGCTTGGTCTCTCTGGAAACTGGTCTGCAAGTTTATCTCCATCGTCAAGTCCGCTTCCACCAGAAAGTTATTTCAAGTGGGCTTAGTGGCCTATTTCTGTATTCCCAGCATTCTAGGAAGCTGAGGCTGGAGGGTCACAAGTTGGAGCTCAGCCTGGACAATTTAGCAACTTAGAGAGATTGTCTTTAAATATAAGAAAGGGCTGGGGATGTAGGTCAGTGCGAAAGCTCTGGATTCAATCCTCAGTACCACAAAGAGAAGGAAGGGAAGGAGGGAAGCAGGGAAGCAGGGAGAGAGGCCAGAAGCTGTTCCCCTTACCCCTCAGCTTCCTAACAGTGTGTTGGGGCTGGGCAGTAAAATCTCCAAACCCCAAGTACGGTTACTGTTGGAAATATTAGAGGATTAGATGGGACCATCCTGTGATGATGAAAGTATGGAAGTTTCCTAGCCCTGTCTCTCCCTAACATATATATGTTCTAAGAGTATAAGGCGGCTTTAGAACTAGGGTATTTCAACAGAGCACAGCGGCATGAATCTGCCATAGGCACCCACTCACAGGCTAAAGCAGGAAGATTGCAATTTCAAGGCCAGACTGGGCAATTTAGGGAGATGTGTCCCCAAATGGAACAAAAAGGGCTGCGGATGTAGCTCAATGGCAGAGTGTTTCCTTGGGTTCAATGCCCGCTACCATAAAATAACCAAAATAATAACAACAATGAAATTCCAGATCCAGGGTATTTGGGCTTCTGTTGGCATGAGTTCATATACTACTTTGCTTCCTAGAGAATTAAAAATGATCTCCCTTCTAGTGGCAACCCCCACCCCCAGTCCTGGGGATTGATTCCAGGGTTTTGCAGTGGTCTCCAATCCTTTTTAAATTTTAAGACAAGGTCCCAGACTGGGCTCAAATTTTTGATCCCCCTGCCTTGGTCTCCTGAGCAGCTGGGATTACAGGCCTGTACCACCACCCTGCCTGATCAAATAATTGTACACAATCAATCAAAACAATAGAAGTATATGACAACCTAACTCTAACTCTAACCCAAACCAGCATCAGATTCATTTATTTATCTTGTAGGACCTTATAAAGTTAATTATCATATATACAGGTTGAAAACCAGACTAATAGTTCAAAGAACATATAAAACACCTAAGACAATTGTACTAAGTCAGGGTATACTTCTAGATACATGGTCCACACTGGATTATAATACCTTTTCTCCTCTCCAATTAGTTCACTTAAATGTGGAGAAATATTGCTTGTGATAGAAGGGGATGTGTTTAGATATAATTTTTTCCCATTTTTCATAGATGTCAATAATAATTGTAATGATAGAAAAATTTAATACCTAGTCTTACGGTCAGACAAAGTAAAATAATAATTCATTTTGCATTCATATTTTAAGTAAAGAAATAGACAACATGCTTCATCCTCTAAAACATAGAAAGTGTAATAAAATTTTGTGGCAGTAAAACATGGAGTGCCTGTTTGAGTTCAAATAGGAAAAGAAATGATGCAAATATCTGACTGCTAGAGAAGAGGCTGTTCATATATTTTTTAAGTGGATGGTTGTCATATCAAATTGCTAAGGCATTTAATTCAACTGCATACGTTTAAAAAATGATGTAACCGTTTTACTTTTGCAGGTATGAGTCTACTATTTGCTGGAAATTACAAGCTTCACAACTATTTAAACTTTTGATGAAAAATGTTAGGTGTCCTAAATAAAAGACAGGTAATAGGAAAAAAGAGCTAAAAGGTGTTGTAATCCAGTGTGGACCGTGTATCTAGAAGTATACCTTGACTTAGTACAACTGTCTTAGGTGTTTTATATGTTCTTTGAACTATTAGTCTGGTTTTCAATCTGTATATATGATAATTAACTTTATAAGGTCTTACAAGATGAATAAATGAATCTGCTGCTGGTAAAATAAAAGGG